AAAACCGGTACTCGACGAGTTAAAACAGTCTTTCTCTATTTCGTACCTTGACCATTATAATACTTAATATTGTTTTATTCCTGCTGAGTGATGCGAAAGTATGAATGATTTAAAAATATTGTCTAAGTATTCCTTACAGAAAAACAAAATGAAACAGCCTTATATACGTTTGTTAGAGGAAAATCCTTCTTAGAGATAAATCCTTCTTAGAGGAAAATCCTTTTCAGCCTAGTACATTTGTGCGACGACGTCAGCTGGAAGGGATGACAGGAGTGACACGAGAACGGAGTGGTGCTATGCAGCCGTTCACCTTTTTTGCGTTGGCGCTCGGACGAGATGGTTGTGTGGTTGTACTCTCAAGGGCTATTTTGCAACATTGGTGACCGCTAGTCCGAATTATAGTTATTTGTAGTTTTGTTACTTTTAGTTCTCGTTCTGGTTATTTTGCTTATGGATTGTAATTAAAGAGAGGTTAGGACTGTCAGTGTGTTTCTTTTTAAAAAACTATATTTGATAGACGTTTCTAAGATCAGAAGTGGGATCATTTACTATCATTTACGCGACTTTGATCGTTCTCCATCCTCTTATTTTAAAAACTACGTGGTCGATCAATCTTTTTCTAGTAGTTTGGTGCTTTGTTCTTTTTGTAAATAGTTGCGGTTAGTAATTATGCCGAGTAGTGATTATTCTGGTGGTGAAACGCCAGCCACGCGTCGAAGTAGGAGTCGTGATAGTCGAAAACGTAGGCATGGTTCACATAAACGCCGCGACCGTCGTTCAAAACGACGCGATCCGTTAAATCTGATTTTGCAAAGACTGAATGCACTTGAGGAGCGCCTGCCGGTAACGGCGACTAGTTTGACCGCTCCGTCTCGTCCTCGCGTTTGAAGCAGCCCCTCGGCCGTGGTCTTGGACGTCACCGAGACTGCTGCTGAGGTTGGCGTGGCGACGCCCTCTACGAGCCAGCCTGCGGAAACGCCACGCGATACCAGCAGCATGGCGGATGGGATTGTCGGTGCACTCTTTTCATTGTTTCAAGTAAGATCTAATCATTACTACATTTCGAATTTCGATCCAAGTGTGCATGATTTTGATGTGTGGTGTGCGGAGGTAGACCGAGGCCGAAACTTGAACGGTTGGGATGATCATGAGTGTTTTGGGCGTATTGCTGGTTGCCTACGCGGTGACGCCAAAACGTGGCTGAACCATTGGGTAACAAGCGATCGCTCGTGGTCGAATTTTAAAGCTGAGATCCGATCGTTGTGTCCACGTGAAGTTGATATAGCAACTGTGCTGTATGACGTTATGAGTACAACGTCAGACAAGTTTACCACGTATGCAGAGTACGCTCGAATGTCCCTACTGCGGTTAAATATCGTACGAGGGCTTTCGGATTAGCTCAAAACCGCCATAGTAATTCGTAGCATCTCCGATCCTCAAGTGAAAGCCGCGGCTACCAACGTTAAACTGCAGCCAAAAGACTTGGTCGAATTTTTGTCCGTGTACGTTAAACCTTAGAATACGCAAAGCGCTACCGATAATCCCATACGCTCGTCAGCTGCTGAAACGTCCTATCCTCGTAAACGTGAAGCGTCTAGGAGACGACAGGTGACATGTTTCTCGTGTGGTAAACGCGGTCACAAACAAGCTGATTGTTTTAAAAGATCAAAAGTTCAGCCACTTCTAATTCTAGATTTACCTCCTCTGAGACTTCAAATGTTGAAGAGATATGAAGTCTAATTCAAAACCAGTTAAATTGATTTGCACTTATTGTAAGAAAACCGGTCATCTTGTTGGTTCATGCTATTTAAAGCAATGAATGGATTCTAAGTCCAATGATAAAAGCAATAGTGACGTAAATTTTTGCTCTGCGTCGATTCCGGACGAGACAACGTGATGACGGCGATTATTCAAAAACTACCCGTAGATGTTTTAATTGATTTTGGGTTTGATATTTCACTTATTCCTAGATCGGTTTTAAAGCACTTTAGTTTTAATCAATTGCCAACCTGTCGTAGATTGCGAGGTATCGGCAGTTAAGATATCGAGTCTACTTCTTTTGTTAAGACTATAATTGAGTTCCTTGAATTGTCATTAGAGGCGGATCTTTATGTAGTACCACCAGATTGCATTCAGGCACCTGTCTTGGTAGGGACCGACATTTTAAATCGAGAGAGTGTCACCAACATTAGAACGAGTGACTCACAACGATTGATGAGAGTTGATCAAGTGTACAATGTGTTGTCTGTGGAGCTGGCTGACCAAGTGAAGACACCTTTAGTCGATGATGACAAGAAACGTTTGTTATCTTTGATTGACGAGTTTTCTGGAACGTTCACCACTGGCACAGCGATTTCCACAGTAAACACAGGGAGCATGGAGATTAGGCTTAGCAGTGAAAGTTTGATAAGTTATCGACCGTACAAGCTTTCTATAGACGAGAAGTTACGCGTTCGCGGCATAATTAGTGATCTTTTGAGTAAGGGCATCATACGAGAGTCCCAATTAGACTATGCAAGTCCTATCATCCTCGTAAAGAAAAAGAACGGGGAAGATAGTATGTGCCGTAGACTACAGAGCTTTAAACGCTGTCACTGTTAAAGAAAGATTTCCATTACCACTAATCGATGACCACATCGATAAATTGGGCAACGCCAAGTATTTTACCAGTATAGATATGGCCACTGGCTTTCATTAAGTACCAATGAAAGACGATGCCTCCATTAGTAAAACTGCTTTTGTGACGCCTGAAGGGCATTATGCGTATTTGAAAATGCCCTATGGGCTGGCTAACGCCCCAGTCGTATATCAACGCATTATCACAAAGACACTCAAGCATCTTATAGACACTGGCCATGTATTGACCTATATTGATGATGTACTGATCATGTCCAATTCAATCGAGGAAGGCCTAAAGATATTGCGTGAGGTTTTAAAAACTCTCTCAGCGGCAGGCTTCTCGGTCAATCTGAAGAAATGTACGTTTTTAGATCCGGAGGTTGAATACTTAGGACGGCTGATTGGGCATGGTCAGGTACGGCCGAGTCCGAGTAAAACTGATGCTCTAATTAAGTCCCCGAAACCCACAAATGTAAAAGAGGTGCGTCAGTTTTTGGGGCTGGCAGGTTATTTCCGCAGGTACATTGCTGGATATGCCTCGAAGACTGCTTGTATTGCCAAGCTACTGAGAAAAGGCGTGCCTTTTGTTTGGGGACCAGAACGAGATGTTGCGCTGAGCGACTCTCGTCCGAACCGAGAAGCCCTGCAGACTTTGAGAAGACAGAGGGTCTCGGAACTGCTTGCTGCCAATTAGCAACGACAGGACGCCTACGTTAATGAGGGTCGTCGAGTCGTCGACAACCCCGTACTTTTTCTGTTGGCAGTTTCGTGTTCGTCAGCAAGGGTTCACAAAGTACCGGCAAACTCGATTCCGGGATGCGTGGTCCGTACAAAGTTGTCCGGGCATTGCCTCATCACCGTTACGAGCTTTATTTGTTAGCAGGCTCATATGGAAAAAAGACTCAGAGCGCCGCAGAACATATGGTTCAGTGGTGGGGTGAGTGGATCCCGGATACATGCGAGGCATTTTTCGGGACTGGTGAGTGAGCCCTGTTTACCTGGTACCCTTGTGGGGTAGCCAGAACGTCACGTAGGTGACCATGTGTGCGTTCACCTGGTACCCATGTGGGGTAGCCAGAACGCCACGGAGATGTCCTGACTCCTCGATGCGGAGGTTTGTCAGAGGGCTTCGTAAGTGGCTTCTTGATTTGTTGTTATTTATGTTTTGTCCTGGCGGTTGCCAGAGGGCCACTTACGAGTGCTTCTTGTTTTACTGTTGCTCATATTATGTTTGCTGACATCGTTCATGAGTAGAGCTCCTCATTGACGATGCCTTCTTGCTTTGGTTACCATTTGTAAGGGGATTGCTTGAGTGCACGCTTGCTATCCGTTTGCAAAGTGAACCAAAGCCAAAATAATACATCACTACAATGTTGTTTTAACATTTCAGAAGAGAATGATGTTGATGAAGAACCATCAAATGAGGCTGTTGTAGAAATTTAAGCTGACGAGGCCGTTCAGCTGTCAGGAACGGCCGTGTTAGAGGAAAATCCTTCTTAGAGATAAATCCTTCTTAGAGGAAAATCCTTTTCAGCCTAGTACATTTGTGCGACGACGTCAGCTGGAAGGGATGACAGGAGTGACACGAGAACGGAGTGGTGCTATGCAGCCGTTCACCTTTTTTGCGTTGGCGCTCGGACGAGATGGTTGTGTGGTTGTACTCTCAAGGGCTATTTTGCAACATTGGTGACCGCTAGTCCGAATTATAGTTATTTGTAGTTTTGTTACTTTTAGTTCTCGTTCTGGTTATTTTGCTTATGTTAAGATTGTAATTAAAGAGAGGTTAGGACTGTCAGTGTGTTTCTTTTTAAAAAACTATATTTGATAGACGTTTCTAAGACGTTATATACGCTATCTCCTTCACACACGTGTTCCGAATCACATCCTAATAACTGCAATATTTTGGGTTTAAGGCCGTGCGCTGCGTTAGGAGAAAGACAAAGAAAGAAAAAGCTTTATTTCACGCCAAAAAACAAGTGGCATGTACAAATAAAATAAGTACATTCTATTAGTAGGTACTGATGGATACATGATCATGTACCAAGTCTAGGGACCAGTTCAGCTTGTGCAAGACAGGGCCTTGCGCTGGTCTACCTCTACTGTCGCCTTACCTTAAGCGTGCGCACGGCGCGGGCGTAAGCATGGCGTGCTGTTTCATGTAATCTCATAGATCAGCGTGCGACGGGCAACCCGTTGCATGCAGCGCACGGCCTTAAGCGGAAAACTAATGCGGGTGATTTAGGAGTAGATGAAATCTACTCGCCCGTCACCATATAGTTGAGGTTAGGTAAATATTAGAAAAGAAATAAATCAAACAAAATAAGTTTTCATAGACATATATTTCTTAAAGAGTTTACACCCACAAAATAATACGAATCGTAAAGAATTGAAAATTTATTTTATAAAAAAAACTTATCAACATGAAAATGTTAGTGTTTTGACAATAAACATGTTACGTCGAATAGATTCTAACACATAATTCTTAACCCTACAATGTTTATCAAAAAACATTTTTCCTTTATTTTTTATATTTCCTTCATTTCGTTATCCAAACGTTTTGGGAGATCTTTAAAAAGGCACTCAATAGAACACGTTGCCTTAAAATGAGATCTAATTTTTGAAAATTCTACGCCCGTTTAAAATTTTTCTAAAAAAAACTTATATACGACAAAAAACATATCTAAAAAATTTGATCACGCCAAAATAATACGATATATTACGAGGGTAGGTACTGGAACATTTATATTTATTTCGTTTTTTTTTTAATATAAATAAAGCAACGATCATTTTAAGCACCACCCGCACCACCTTAAAAAGAAACTATGTATTTTTTATTATAAAAATATAATTTTGAACGAGATCCAAACAATATCAAAAGAGAAATTCCAAAAGTACTTATAATATACATCGAATTACATAGAGCTACCTACTTATAATTAAATTTTGATGGTAAAATGGATTACGACTATGCTAGATGAAAAATAGGTGAGAGGACAAAACGAGAAACGCAATCCACGGACAACAAGTTAAAAAAACTGATAAAAAATATAAAATCATAAAAAAATCGGTCATCTAATTGGGTCACACATTAACACACATTTTTATTTCATCAATATCAAGAAGTATCATCATCAGAAAATATGTAGGTACCTAAGCAATGACGTTTTAAAAAATTGAATGCATTTATCATTAAAAATCTTAACCAGCTGCCCGTGGAATGATAAAATAAATTGCGATTATGGAACATTATCAAGTCCGAAATAAGTCTTAGAATAGAAAAAAATAAATGCCATATTAAGACGCAAGTTAAAGCATTACTTTGATAACTCATGCTACAAATAAAAAATAAAACGATAAATTCATTATCGCCTGAACTTTTGCTCTATTATCTGTGAACAATAAAAAAGTCACCGGGTCACAGAGATGGAGAAAAAAGTACGATTATTGATTTTTAAATAATTAATTATAACTGATAATCGCCGGTTTTAGAAGTCAATTATATTATTAAATACAAGTCATGTTGATAGCTATACAGCTATTATTATCTAACACTGACAGTTTTTGACGGGTCTAAAATACCATTAATTTTTGATGATTCACATTTTTTTTTCGAAATGAGGGATACCTACTTACAAGTGACGTTAAAATAAAATGAGGTGTAGGTTCTAACGAGGCTAGTTAGGTATAGAAAAACACTTTCTTAGATTTCATAGAACATTAGTAATATAAAAATAAAAATAAAGCAATATGGTGAAGCAAAAATAGGAAAGTTCTGTAGTATAACTTACTACTCCAATCTAAAAAGACATAAATGTAGGTGCTTATAATAACTAGCGATAAAAACTAGCCTCGCACAAACCAGACCTTACAAGTTGAGTAATTTAAACTAGGTAGGTAGGTACAAAAGTAAAATAAAAAAATGTACATTTTTCACACTCACGGCACACAACACTATAAGGTTTGCAGTCTTCAACCGAATATCACATAGCTATAAACTCCACACATAAGACTCCAAGCATTAATTGCACAGACATAATATATTTTTATAAATGAAAAAAAATACGATAAAAATCTGCTTGTAAAAAAGTCATGCGGCATTCTAGGGTTGATTTTCGACATTGACGCAAATTCATGAATGAAACATTTAAATGAATGAAATCATTTCAATTTAGCTTTACGATAACAGAATTAGATAATTGTAATCAACTTTAAAAGCGGTTTTAAAAGAAAGAAGTCTCGTTTACCTACTCTTTTAGCAAAAACTTGGAGTCCAAACTATTCTAAGACATTGCTATGAACATCCACAGCTTTCGACAACCATGCCAGGGATGGTCCCGTATATAATGTTATAATCATGGTCGAAGTAGAGCATTGTGATGCTGCTCATCCTTCGAGGGGCGCAGCAAGGCCCCCCACTGCCTTGCGGAGCTGCGAGATGGACTAAATGAGTGTGTGGATACTTTTGTAGGAAGCTGTAAGGGCACTCCCCACTGCAATAGTTGGCGTCATAGACTTTGGGCGCGATGATCCAGTCCCAGCCGAATTCTTCGAAGTTCACCACGAGGGGGTACCGACAGCAGCGCGCTTCTTTAGAGTTTTCGGTGCAGTCCATGCCAATAGTACGGCGCGTGCGTTTGTGTGAATTGTCCTTTAGACTTACTTCTATGTATGGCATCTGGAATGAAAGGAAGATTATTAGAATCTATGAAACATACCTTCAATTACTACCTATTGGCCAGTTTCATTAACCATCTATCTGACACAGAACACAGATTGAGAGTAGATAAGTAGACAGGAGCTAAGTATAGGCTTACACAAGTCGCGACTGGCTATACGTAGGCAAATACCAAGCCCCAATCTTGACCGTCATACTCGAAAAGATCCCTAAATACTTTGATAATCTAGGTCTCTTTTTCCAGTATTCCAAATTGTTATCATAACTAATAACGCAACCAGTAGAAGGTGAGTGCAGAGCAAGTTCCTCTACTTACTCCTTTGCCCTCTCACCTCCATCAATAAAGACTTATTAAAACTTTTTGAAATTATCTATCAAATTAATCAAAGTAATTAGCAATCCAAAGAGCAGGTCTCATCATCCCAATTTATAACCACAAAGACTCGTTCATATCCGTGAAATTGCATCATTTAAAAAATAAACAAAAAAAAGCTGATAACTCGTTAATAAGTTAAATTTTTGATCGGTATTATCTTTCTGATACAGATATACATACATTTTTTAAATATATTCATAATGACACAAAAAAGAGACCTAATATAGACACAGATAACTTTGATGTCAATGCAGTAGTTCATTTTGAATCTGATAATTTTAAAAGTAATGAGGAAAAGATTACTGTAATTTGTTTCGGTTAATTAGGTCGATTTGACATGCTGTGAAATACTGAAATGTACATTAACTGGAGCAAAAGATATAGCGATTTTTGTTGAAATCCAAGAATTAAGTTGAAAATAAGAGTAAACGGAAATTAATACAGAAAATATTGTAGTTGAAATGCTTCAGAAGCTTTGGTCATTCGAAGAAGGTAAAGGTTAATAAAGTAAAGTGTAAGTAAAGGATACAAAAACAGTCAACATGAAGAAAATGTAGATGAAATAGATATAGAAACCCTAAAAAGGACAAGATAAGAAAAAAGGGACATTAAAAGTGAACTTACCAAAGCATTATTTGATTCAGAGCTTGGATGTGGCACAACCAAACTCATTCTATTCTTTGAGTCTTGTACTCTCACTACTATTGCTAAATTCTCCCGCGGCAGTCGACAAAACTCCGCAACCATCGTGGTTATATTAACCTTCAACCATTTCCCAGCCCTCAGCTCACTTCTGACCATCTTCACAGAATTATCAGTGTAAGGAACCGAAGCTTTGCTGCCCTGGTTGTTCCTCGTCACTCTACTGACTTGCAGGTTGATAGTGAACGGCTCATCAGGATCTATGGTGGTGTTTCTCGACTCCAACTCCTGGATGTGAAGGTTGAGGACCGCCTCGTCCAGCTCATTTTGTAAGACCTTATTGGTGAATCTGAAGTTGATCACTTTTAGCCCTTTAAAGTGATTGTGCCGTCGTGTGTCTGTTGGTCAGAAAAATATTTATTATTAGGATATTGTGGTGGTACTGTAAAAAATATATTATTTTTGTTATACACAATGTAGTGTTCGAGCCCATAGTCTAGATAGAAATATCTACCTGCCTACTGATTGATTACTTAATATTAATAAAAAGTCGTACCTAATTTTAATTATATATTCCGTACCCACGAATACCTACTTACTTTACCGAATTGCCCTATCTTTTTAATTATAAACAATTGACCGATTATTATTAGCCTGCTTATTTCTCTCTTTGTACGCTTTGAGTTAGTTATAATATTTTCCTGTTTTATCAACATTTACAACCTGGTTCATGCCTCTCCTTACACACGGTTTTTCCATGGAATATAACGAACTAAAGCCGCCACTTTAGCCACTATAGCCACGGAATCCCCAAGACCATACTTCACCATTCAAAATATTGTAAATGTTAAAAAAAATAAAAATATTACCACTAACTTAATTTAGTTAATTTAATTAAAAATTCTGAAGTTTAAAATGTTGGTTAATCATATTTAAACTTAAAATTAATCATATTTAAAATTATTCTTTAAACTACTTATTGAGACGTAGCGTTGTTAGGTTTTGTTTTATTTTTGGCTTGGTTATTGTTTTAAGTATTATTGATGTCTAAGATCATAAGATCTGGCTTTGAAGTCACATTTGGATCCAGTTTAAATTGTAGTTTCTTCATATCTTCGGTGCGAAGGAGACCCACGATCTGAAAAGAAAGAAAAATTCGATAAAACTTTCGTTTCTGTTTCCATGTTATATTTGAGTCCCTAACTACCGATTAAGAGCTGTTAAAGACTAATCTACCGGTCATCGTTTTCCGACCAGGTCGCGTCCAAAACCGTTATTTTTTCACTTTTCTACAGAGATTATCCTTAATATTCTACGATGATTAATATTCTTTAACAATATTCTTTATTTTTTTTTCATTATTGTCCACTAGTTTAATTAAATTTTATTATTATACAATTAATATTAACTATAACTAAATGAAAATGTATACAACTTAAAATATAAAATATTTACACCTTAAAAAAAAGTAATAATAAATAAATACGCTATGATAAGGCATCAAAAAAAAAATTTTCCTCATCATTATCGTGAGGTAGGGTGCCCAAAAGACTGGCAGCATTACCACGTTAAATGTCAATGCTTAACCTTTGTCCACGGCCCTAAAGTTTCAACCCCAAACGGTTCGAAAGCATAATTGCCAATCAGGCTATCATACTTTCGCCGTTTGAGGTTCTCGGCAGTAGCAGCGGCAGCACCGGCTCGACACGCTGAGTTTGGAAGATGGGATGGCGCCAGAGTATCAACGCAAGTGGCGTCCCATACTAAAGGCCTACCCATCTTCCAAGGGAATAATGACATACCGTCGGGTCTCTTGCCATCGTTGCGTACCAAGCCATTAGGTTCTAAAGTAGCTGGCACGCCAACGGAGACAAGAGCTCGACGAATTATGTCATTAATACTCGCGTGTCGAGCAAAACGACCCGCACTACGGCTACACGACAAGCCGTGGTGTCCAAGGCTGTTGACATCTTCACCACAACGACAACGATGAGGTGAACAAAATGAAGCCCCAAGCCTTAAACAAATTGCAGCGCGGAATGTGGTGTCGTCCAACAAAGTACCTAAGTTGGACGAAGGCAAAGCAAGAAGCCATAACCCTGACTCCCACTCACCCACAGCCAAAAGGCGAGCTCGCTCTGCAGTTGAACAAGCGGAGTTCAATAGATTTTCGCTCACTTTCCTGCAGAGCGGCTCGTCCCATTGTCTCTGGGAGAGTGATTTGACGGGGGGGTCAATATTTGGGCAAGCGATTTTCCAAGCTTTCACAGCTTCCACTAAAAATGGTACATCAAAATTAACCAGTGATTGAGAAAGAATTTTCCTGGTTAATTCTTCAGTACCATGGGCGGAAGATATGAAAGCT